TGTCCGCCACGTCTCGCGAGCAGCGGGGGGACAGAGCCCTCCTGGAGACATCTGGAACTGCACCAGCATGGAAGTCAGAGCCCGTGCGAGCCAGTGTTCTCCGAGGGCCGGTTTACTGACACAGCTCCTGGTTCCAGGGCAGCTGGGCAGGCGAGGGTGGGAGCTGAGGTGCTTCCTAGTGATTTGACTTCTCTGGCCCACATCCGGAACACGGGCTTTGTTTGTTTTGCGTACTCAGTCATCATCTCCTCTGATCCCTCTCTCTCTCTCTGGCACAGGGCTCAGCGTTTCCTCACATTCGTTTTGAATGAGCCGATTTACCATTATTCTGTCCCCAGACTTGCCTAACAGCAGAAAGCTTTATAGAGTCTGTCTGGGTTAGGTCACAAAACTAATCCACCAGGCCAGAGAGTAATAACCCATCCGTTTAGGTGATGTAAGCAACCCTGGTAGTCCAGGGAGGATGGGACATGCTGGCCCTTCGGGTTCCACGGTGGTCATTCCCAGTAGGGAGCATCCTCCTGCTCCAAGGGCAATGGTGTCACATACATGAATCGCATGTCACGGGACCCACGTAATGAACCTAACTGCATTTTGTCTTTTTGCAGATGAGCGCAGTATAAACACGAATTTCTCTCTTTGGAGACGTTTTTCCTTCCCACCTGTGATCACCTCCTGCTACTGTTCCTTCACATGCTGTATTTCTAGGGCAATGCAAGGAAGAACAACGCGTCGGTTGCACCCTGTGGATAGCAAGTGGATGTCTCTCTAATTAGAAAGCTGTTACTCTGAAGGACTTCATGCATCTTACTGAAGGTGAAACGGAAAGCCACTTACGAAAAGTAGATTTTGTGAACAAAAGACCAGAGATCCACCCAAGGCATCAGGACTAGAATGCGAGTGCTTTGGGAAAGGTGAGGAATATAAATCACATCTAGTAAAGGCCGCGTAGTCAGTGCCCAGCTGCTACACATCACTGGACAGATACACGGTTATGGGGAACCTTCTTGATACAGGATATTTCTGTCCTGAAGATACTGGCATGTCCACTCTGCTTTGTGGCTGGAAGTTTTAACCTATGGCACAGTTCAAAGCCAACTTTACACGCAGTGATATATCAAACTATAGTGGCCACCCTTCATCTGAGTGGGAGGAAACAGTTGGGTTCTTATGTCTTCTGTGTTGAGCATGTAAAACTAAAGACACGATTCTCTTCAGGGAATTAGCTCTGTTGTTGGTTATAGCTAGATGAAACTTAACACCCATAGTAGAAAGAACATTTTCCAAATTCACAAGTAGCTTCTGTTTAATATATACTCCACCAAACTAAGTGGTTTCTGCTGTCATTGTGGTCATCGGTTGAATAAAACTGTCTTTGCACATCCATTAAGGGAGCCAGCTTTCTTAAGGCAAATAATTTTTTAAGTTGAAATTACAGATATAGATAAACCTATCAGTTTAATTCATATTCTTAAATGGGCTGTCTTTATTGTTTTTAGCTGGTTGTCTTAATTAGCCATAAAATTGGAAAAAGTAGTAACTGACTTGAATCATTAGCCAAATATGAGTATCCAATAATTTCAAAACACATCCCATAGAAAGGCACTGAAAACTATTTTTCACCGAGAAATGTGTTTTTCTGACATTACATTCACAAATGGTTCCATGGTCTGTCTGTCCTGTGTTTTGTCAGACACCTTTCTGAGGGACCATGTTTTATGGCATGTGCTGGTTTTTCACTTTCTTCAGTGGTACCAGCCCAGTCCAGTGGCTCAGGTGTTGCGTTGGCTGGCGGGGTTCTCCTGGGCAGCCGGTCACAGCCTGCTGTCTCCCTTCATAGTCTCTGTAGATATAGCTGTCCTCCACCGTCAACCATGGCTGTGTCGTCCCGTAATCTTTTGCTTCACTTAGCTGGAGATAAGTCCACTTCAGACCCCAATGCAAGTGTGTGCTGCACAAAGCATATGCACAGCCCTTTCCCAGGACGGAAACAGAGACCTCCCTCTTGCTGTGTACCAAGTGGGATTAGCCGGGCTCTCACAGACTCTTGAAATGATCAAGAAACAAAACATCTAAAAAATACTGTTTCTAAATGCTGAGGTCTAACTATTGCTTACGTCATTGTCTATTGAGTTGTTAATGGTTTCATTCTGTTGAACGAGACTTTAAGAAATGTTAAAATGATGCTAGTCTCCTATTAGTATTTAATATAAAAATATTTAAAATGTCTAGTATTGTGAGTTGGTTTAATATGTATCTCATTTATGTATCAGGCCTATTTTAAAATAAGATTAATAACAGTGTTTTCTAAGTGTTGCTCTTGCTCACTGTCCCGGTAGTCACAGTAATGATGGCACGTTAGGGCAGGCACCGTGGCGAGGCCACTTCTGAGGCAGAAGCACAAGGATCAGAAGTTTAAAGTCATTCTTGACAACACAGCAAGTTGAAGGCCAGCCTAGGCTACATGAGATCATAACTCTTGAAAAAAGAGGGGGCAGGGACATGAGAGGTATCTAAGTGGAAGACAATGTGTTTACATTCTTGGGTCACTGATGTTTTAAGATGTCACCAAACACGTCCTAGCTTGAAGGTGTTTGTGTTTGAGTATGTCTAGGGTGGTACTTTCTAAGAATGGATATATGTACCACTTGGGATAAACTGACTTTATTTAGGCACTTTCTGAGGTGGCATTACATTAAATGGAATCTGTTGGCTGCCTGAAAACTGACGTGGCATGTGAAGGCATGTGTCAGCAAACAGAGCAGACCCATGACACCCGACTGCCCTAGGGAAGATGCCAGACTAAGCTGGAAAGTTGAAAATTGTTTTACTTTTGGAGCTGGAAGGCTACTCCCCATCTTGAGAGTATATTCATCCGAAGGCATCTTTCGTTTAAAATTCATTCATTTGTTCATCAAATATGTTGAGTACCTGCCTTGAACCAGGCATTCTTCCAGATGCTTGGCCGATACTAATAAAATAAAACAAGTGACTTGCTGTCATAAACGTTAAGATGTTCTCAGATTCTGGGCCATATGCTCAGTAGTCACTTTACCCATTAAAGTTCACTAGAGACTTTGTGAAGCAGAAATAGCCAATGACCCGGGGATTCGAACACTTGTTGCTCTTACAAACTGGGTCCAGTTCCCAGCCAGCACCCATGCGGTGGCTCACAGGCATTTATAACTCCAGTTCCAGGGGATCTGATACTTTCTTCTGACCTCCATGGGCACCAGGCACTCATGTGGTATACACACATAAAGGCAAAACATTTATACACAAAATCTAATGTTTTACACTAGTGAAAGCTGCAGATAATATAAACGTTAGAGGTAAATGTATATAGTTTCCAAGAAATAACATTTAAACCAACTGCAGGAAGCTGAGGCTACTTAGTATTGTTTGAAAGCCTTGACTGTTCAGCGATAATCAGTGAGATTCAGCTCTCAAGTTCTGGGAAAACCAACTCTGGCTGTGTATTGTGCACTCTAAAGGGACAATGTGATTTATTGTAGAAAAAAATCATAACTTATTAAAATTAAACTGAGTGCACAAAGTAAAGCTCCCCAACGGGTAGAGCTGTCACGTATGTGTCACCACAGACCCATGAGTTTTGTGTTTTATAATGCTGTGACGCTCAACTGCGGCCTTTCCCATGCCGTGCACATAGATGAAGTCATAGTATCTGGTGTCCTGACTGTCTGGCTTCAGAGCAGATCTGCTGATCCGGGAAAGGGCAGCAAGAGGCACAGCTGGCCCCAGGAGGCCCAGTCAGGTTAAGCTCCAGAAACAGAACTGAGCCCTCTGAGCAGACCTCATAACGCCTTCCAGCCCGTGGGGTTAGCGTCTGCCACCTCCATTAAAACAACTGCTAAACTGTTACTAAGTCTAGATCCTTCTACCCCTAAAACACATACACCCTCTAGCCTTTCATACCTAGATAATTTCCCATTCATAAAAAATGTGAGCCACCTAGTACATCCATGGGTCGCTTCCTTGAACATCCACGATTTATGAACTTACTCATGTTACTATAGGGATTAACAAACTTAACCTAAACTCCTAACAAAGTGCCATAAAAATAGAATGCTCATTATACTAACAAATACAACTTGTCACTCTTGGGGCTATCTGTAGGCTCTGCACTGCTACCAAGCTTCCAGCTGCAGATAAACGTATGTGCAGTAGGAGCTGACTGAGGTTGCAAGACTTAACACTGTCATGCTTGGCCCCAAAACTCACCCGCGAGACTTTAACTAGTAACTGCTAGCTAATGTAAGTGAAGATATGCACCTTACCTATAACTGTGTGTTAGGGTTCCGGGAAGGAATATTGGATTAAGAGTTCCATATCATGGGCCACTCGTGGGTCCCAGCTTCATCAATGAGTGGGTTAGATCAGAGAATTCCACGTGTCATTTCGAGTTCTAAATTATCAGTGACAGAGATGGCCCAACACCACAGCTCCTGTAACCAAGCAGTGTGGTTTCTGGCACAGAACTTGGGTAAAATGAAAGTAGGATTGGTGTGGTGTTCACATACCTTCTCTATGGTCGTAAAACCAGACGCTAACTTTAAACCCAAGAGGACCAAGGCAGTTCTGGCATTGGACCCAAAAGCCACTCCCACATGTGAAGAATTCAGGGGAGCCCCAGCTAGTCCAACTCAGATCCTAGTGTGGCAGTACTGGATCAACTCTGCAGGTAGAGTTCAAGGCTCCATGGAATCATGCTCTTATCCAAGGATACTTGCAATGGCATGATCAGCGGGGTATCCTGAGCACTCTAACTGTACGAGCACAGTGGAGCTGACCTAGCCTGCCCACCACGAACACCACAGCTGAGTCCTCACAGCTCTCACCTTGGTCCTGTGGTCCAAATGTCCCACGTGGTTCTGTGTGCTGCCTGGCTCATAGCAGGCTGGATGTAAAACGGCTACACACTCATAACAAGCAGCGCAGAGAAAAACTTAGTTATTTTAAGAAAATTCATTTCTCACAGCTTGTTTTCAATACATGTATTTATTATGCTGTAAAAAGCAACACTACCTGATCTCATTTAAAATAAATATTTTCCAATTTCAGAATACTTACAATGTATAGTTTTAAGATTTCATTTTGGGAAATGTTGGAAGTAAATACATTCATAGCTTTGGACTCCCCAGGAGGGACCTAAATTCATCTAGTCCCTGACAGACAGCAGGATCAACCGCGAATCCAGCTGTGCAGCTAAAGCGCAGTGTGGGCAGCGGTGGGGTGTAGTGTCTCAGCAGACATGGGTGCTACAACAGGGAGAGCAGGAACAGCGTAAACAGAGCTTCAAACCAACATGACCACGTCATGTTTCCATGATACCGAAAAAGTACACAAGATTGTAAAGCCAAAACAAAAGAGATCTTTGGAGTTTACTGATGGTAGCAGTAACAGCTCATTCAAGCATTTACACAAAGTGTTCTCATCATCAGCCAATAGCAAACAGCCAGAGCAAGACCTGGCATACAGTCGTAACAGCATGAGGGAAAAGAGCGTAAGGAACCAAGCCACAGAGACTTTACAAAACAGCACTGATCTCAGAGAAGGTGACAACTTTTGTCTTCAAACAATATACAGAAAAGTATTCAGAGAAGCCTCCAAGTCACTGGCAATATTTAAGTCACGCATTGAACCACACAATGCCAGCTGCTTTTGGAACAGTGTTACCTCAGTTGATTCCAATTAAAACATGTCCACTCCTTAACTCTGGAGTTGATGCCCCTACGTGGAATGTTCCAGGTACCACCTGTCTTGAGGCTTGTGGAAGCAGGAACACAGTGGCGGGGCTGGATGCCTACCCACCATCCTCCCCAGTCTCTGAACTTAGAAACGTGGTGGTGGTGGGGCCTGGCTCAGTGGAGGGACACTAGCCACAGTCTCATCAAGGGAGGTGCTTGCCAGAGAGTGGGAGGGGCTGGCTGAAAACAGGATCGAAGCAGCTGGAGGCTCCTGGAGTGAATAGTGTGCCGTCGGGCGGCATAAAGCTCGGACGTAACCTGTGTCGGTAGTGAGTCAAGGGAGAGGCTGTAGTAACGTGGTAACCACTGGTGTTTGTGCAGCTGAGAGTTTTCCTTAGCCCACAAGCAGTTTCCAAGAAGTGCATCTGTGTGTGTACGTGTATGCACACATGTGCTTAATTATCAGAAGTCCTCACTAACAGACCCCTCATCTCTGGGAGGTGTAACAGGGTACAGTATGTTCAATTCCTAGAAAATTGTGTTCTTTTCTCAGGTCCCTTTTACCTGTTTCCTAAGTTAATCATAATTTACTTTTCCAAAACAAAGAAATGGTGAGTCTAAATTTACAATGAAGTGATCTGTTCTTACTGAATGATGCAGTCCACTGACGTTAGGAACAGAGGAAGCCAGGGGCCCTCCAGAAAGGAGTGCTAGCTAATGCGGACTTTTGACAGGGGGGTTAAAAGTAAATGTTGTCGGTAGCTGTTCCTAAATGTATCATTGTAACTTTGGCAACTGAAAGCATCTCTGAACTTTTCTTTATTGTAGAAGCTGAAAAAGAACTTAGGAATCTGCAGTAGCTCTGTCTTCATTCTTGAGACTGACAGCTAATTTAGACATCTTAATTTTGGTTCATCTTCTATAAATGGCCAAGCTCTTCTCTGACGCTAGGAATGTGAGGCATGATGACTGTCTGAGGAACCGTGAAAACTGCAGAGCCTGCCCGCGCTCACTTCCCAGCTAAGAAAAAACCACAGAGAGGCTGGCCCGAGGGCTACAGAGAGAGGAAAGGTTTTAAAGTACTAGAACTATATTCACACATAGGTTTTTGGTCACCAAACGTATCTTAACAGATTCCCTGATAAAAATCTAATCAGAATTGGCAAGTCCTATGAACAGTTAGTAACTATTTCAATATTTAAGAAGCCACACTGTGAAGTGAGGAGACATTTTAAACACTCAACCATGGAAGTGCATACAGTTGCTCAAACACTCGAACTAAACCTATTATTGGAAGTCTTGAAAATCACACTGTTTTTTGTCTAAGGACAGCATCGACTCCCTGTGGAGAGACTGTACAACAGAGCTTGACTCATAAATGCATATGAGCATATCACCACCCAGGACTGAAAATTTACAAAGCTCACAAATCATGAAGAGCACACAGGTCAGCTAGCATTGGTAACTATTCTTTTACATCAAATTGTACAATGCACGAGGTAACTAGTGCTCACATTATGAAGGGAAGTTGTTTTATTTCTATTTTTTTCCCAAAGAAATCAGATTTGTCCTGTGCGCACAATGAAGAAAACTCCAGTAACACTGAAATGACAATGTAAAATACACATCACTACCAGATAGAAATATACATGTTCTTCATAATCATGTTCCACAATTAAGTAGGTAAGTAGCTGAAGTCTTGGGGTTTCAGACCATTACAACAACCCATCGAGGTTCTTGTGGACAGTTTGATTCTCCTTTCCGTCGTCAGAATCCCCTTGAGGTGTATACTGGACTTGGTATTCCTGGAGGATTTTAAAAACATCATGGTGTCCAAAGTGCAGCGCTTCATCCATGGGAGTGTTATTCCACCTGCAGCACAGCACAGACAGCGTCATTACCCATAACCACTGAACGAAGATGGTCGCCCAGCATCCCCAGGCTCTAGATCCAGGGTCCATGGCCATTCAAGGTCAGCTACATTAGGAGTATTTCAAGTGAGAACAGCAGAAACACACAAAAGGACTTAGAGTTCAGAACTGGGTCTCAGGAGCATCTGATAATGAGGCCAACAGGATGAGGTCTATGAAAAGATGCTGTCTCCACAGCCAAGTGCTGAACGAGGGCCTTTGGCAGCCAAGTCTAGTGTTGCAGATATCTAAAAATCAGGTAGTAACATGCATCATCCTAACCTTTCACAGAAAATTTATGGTCCTGTGAACTCAAGCCCCACTAAGCTCTACAAGGCTTCCAGGTTTCTAATAACCTCATGACATTAAATACATGTTAGATAAGCAACATCTGCCCAGAGGAAGTGACCCTTTTATCGTACCCAGCAAGGGTTGGAAGCTGCAGACTGAACGGGCCACTGCCTGACCAGAACTGTGAGGGGGAGATGGGAGGTTCAAGGACAAGCAAAGAGTTGCCACAGCAATGAGTCATCTGAGAGGTCTGCACAAGTCCACGGCCCAGCAAACACCAGGCTCCTTGGCGCCTGGCTCCTTCACAACCCACGCGCACACCCGCTCAGCTCCGCCTGCTGGCTCCGGTTCCTCTTCCCACCGCCCTGCCTTTGCTTCTTTCCATCATTCTGTATCTGTCCTGAACCTTCCACCTTAGCAGGTCACAACATAAACAACAACAACAACAAATGCTTAACTCAGCATTTTAAATGTTCCTAGTGGCCTGTTCTTAACGTTTGAAAGCAGGTAAGTAACCTTTTACATGTCTCTTATGTTTCTCAAAAAAACAGCTGAACCCTTCTGCGTGGCTTTCATTAGGTCATTGGCTCTAATGTGACCAAACATTTGTGTTAATTTTGGGGGGAAATCTGCCAAGTCATCTTTACATCTTTCATTTCATAATCAAAAATCCATTGGTAACAAATACACTGTTTCACTCTTGCTATTTTACAAATTAGGTGATAACTGACTCTATCTGATGGGGGAAAGTACTCCTGGGTCTAGGCTTCTTCTGGATACACAGTTACCAAGTTATTTAGCTACCTTTGCCTATAAGATGGATAGCTGTATTTCCACATTCTTAGAGGCAAATCTGGAGTGGAAGAATTCACACAGTCAATATTTCCAACATGTATTAAGTTGAGTTATAAACATGGGGCGAAGCTTTTCAGTCTCTTACTCTGGAGAGAACTATGGTGAGCACTACACTGGGAAGATGGGAGGACTGTCAGCCACCTTGAGACGTTAGAGGACAGCCAACATAACTTACTTCAGTCATTCTTTTTAATAACCACTGGAATGGAGAGATGGATGGCCAACATATCACCACCTCACAAAACTGCTAGCAAAGTTCAGATACTGACGCTGTAACTTCTCACTCTTTGTAAGTTGAACCAAGAAGATTTAGACCCCTAAAACAGAGGCTTAGCAATCTGACCAGCCCCCTGGGAGGCAGTCAACCTGCTCCAAACTTTGTGCTGCTCTCAGGCTTCATTCCAAGCTTTACCCATCAAACGGCACCAAGTGTGGTCCTCTCGCACTCTAAGCCCGACGGCTCACCCGTTCCACTCGGAGGGGACGCCCAGGAAGTGGATGCAGTGGTGCACGCTCAGCACTGCCCTCGGCCCCAGGCTGGGAAGTGGCCGTGTAGGCCAGGAGGAGCTCAGAGGAGCCGAGGGTTCGAGGTAGTTGTTTCCACTGCAGGGAGAAGGCCCTCCTCGTCCAGTGCCTTCAAATGTCCTTTCCTCCAATGGACCCCTGAAAACTCAGCTTCCACAAAGCCCTTCTGAAACTAACTGCACCAAATCCAAGAGCACCAATCAATCCCAACACACCCTTTCCCACGCTCCTGGGCTGTCTACCCTGTGTAGTCTGTCTCGGGAGAACAGAATTCCCATTTTATCTTTTCAAATACAAACAAGTGTCTTCTTCATTTGGGCTCATAGTCCAACCTGAAATTTCCGAGTAAGATACTACTCTTAGATACAGAGTTTGATGTCACACAGAAACCAAGGTTTTGTGTCACCACAAATGTAAAAGTCCCTTGGTGGATTCACATGTAACCATCACTCAATACCATAATTCTGGGTATTCAAATTGTGTTATCAATTATGTTAGAAGGTAATGCAATACTCACCTGTCCTTGGGGAAAGGGTTTACTTTGCAAGCTTCCAGCAAAAACTTAACAACTTCAACATGACCTATATCACCCAACACACACAAAAAAAGGTTTTAGTCTCGAGTAGACTCTATCTAAATCTGTAAAAACTGTAAATAAGTGGTTCATGTATTACCCTCTGCAGCAGCTACATGGAGTGCTGTTCTGGAGTCATAGTCCCTCTGTTCCATGTCCATGGCTGACAAAGCAAATCTGAAAATCCATAAACAGCTATTCACTATATAAGATTAATTTAATCTCATGGTAACATTCACTTCATCAGCACAATCTAGGCCTCTCATTGGGGTTCCATGCTCTACCAGCTTCATGAATGGTAACCAGTTCACCCAGTACAAAGTTGTGGGTAAATTCCATGTGATCTCTCTTCCTTGGCTTTGCTACTTTGAAGTAAGGTAAACATTAGCTGTCTCTCCCAGAACTAAGCTTCATCACATTATTATTAAACTCAAGAATAGTATGAGAGTCAAAAGTGCAGGTTGGAAAGACGGGTCAGAGGTTACGAACACTGGCTGCTCTTCCAGAGATCCTGAGTTCAATTCCCAGCAACCACATGGTGGCTCACAACCATCTGTAATGAGATCTGGTGACCTCTGCATACATAATAAGTAATTTTTTTAAAAAAAAAGAGGCCAAAATGCCTATAGTAAAGCTACATGTTTTCAGTAGGACGCCCATTCTTGAACCTACATTGCCTGGAGTTACATGTACCAATAAAACTTTAAAACAGCATGGAAATCGACTTAGCCATGTCCATTTTAAAGGCTAGCTGCAACTCTGAAAGGGAATCACACTCAGTATTCAGTGGTTCATGGCCTTTCTAATCCTGGTAACATGCACAACACCAAACACCCTGCCTCCTACCTCATCAGAGATCCATTACAGTGAACCACTGGCCAGTTAGTGGACTAGTTACCACAGAGATATGGGCTTTTATGGGAAGATGAGAAGCAGGTCCAGGACACTGGGGGGTGGGGGGTGGGCAGTCTAAGTGGAAGTGGGGTAGTTTGTAACTTGTCTGGTGACTTTTATTAGAAGTGAGTGGGACCTCAATCTTAAGACGGGTGCTTGAGCAGAGAGATGCACCTTCAAACACCCAAAGCCACAGCACATCCGCCCATAGCATACCTCCGGAGGGCAGACACATCTCCAGTGTATGCCGCAAACAGAAGGTTTATTACGGACTTCACCTGTGAACAAAGAAAAGACAGACATTTGCAGGAGGAGGCAAACACTGCCGCTGCTGCGTAGTTCCGCGTGCTTTGAACTTCAGCTGTATTGATCAAACCTTATCTTGGGTACACATCTAAAGAGCACACGCGGACTTTTCTTTCACCAGGACTGGTAGAAAACTAACAAGATACAAGTGGAGGAGACTAGAATACTGACAAGATTGGAAGCTCATAACACTGACATCTACAGTTAGAACGACTGAGAATTCTTTAAAAGCCTCACCTGGCATGTCTCACTACTGGGAATTAGTCTGTAGATGGGTAAAAGGCGTATCACATACTACAAGCAGCTCAGGCTACGTAACTGTCTCATCCCTGGCAGCGTTACTGTCCTCTCTAGTTACCGAATTCTTTGCAACCCTGAGACAGAAGTTAGTGTGTATCACTCTAAACCTAGTAAAGGTAGTCTTCACTGGAGAGTCATGCTTATTGCCAGATGACAGATGTAAACCAGGGCATGCTCAGAACATAAGACACTGCCTGAAGCCTAAGTCCCTGCTACAGAGTGCTCCAAGGCAAGGTGCATCGACTTTCGGCAGTTTCTGCTTGGTTTTACAGTTCAATGGAAAAGGCCAGGAACTCTATGACCAGCAGTTTTGCCCTGCTTTCATCCAGACGATCTGTCCCTGTTTATTAACCAGACACCACTGATTTACACCCTGTCGCATCAGCATTCATCCTGATGACTTCACTGAATGGGACTTGGTGGTAGACACAATAGTCAACGAGACACAATGTAGCCCAGCTCTCCAGGAACGAAGTCACAACCCTGGAACTGCTTCTCTCCGGATATGAAGCCTGACATTACCTTCACTCGATGGCTCCCTTCCATAGCCTGTGAACTTTAAAGCTGACTGCTGAACATTGCTAAGCTTCTGACTTGCATTTAAAGCGTATTTCCTAGAACCTAACCCCCAAAAGATTCTCCATGAAAATAAAGGCCCTATGGTTGGCTATGTTCTTAAAATACTAAGTTCCCTTGTTGGAGACTCATGGGCACACGGAACTCTGGAGTGCTGAAGCGTGGAGCCTGCCAGCTACCAGTGACACTTCCCTAGGACGGCTGCTGACTTCTATCACCTCAGAAGTCCTCCATGCCTATCCCTTCAGCCCACAAGCTCCCATCTGCCACCAGTCACTGTTCCCGCCAGCCTCCAATGTCACTGCTGCTCCAGAGCCAGTGGGGGGAGGGGTTCGGCCATGAAGACTCTGAAAGCGAATGTCAACACCACTCCTCCAGGTGCAGTTGTTTGCCTTCTAAAACAGGTCCCATTAGTCTCTTGGTAACGTCGACGGCTCTGCTGAGTTAGGTAGGCGTCACCACTCATGAATGCAGTGCCTGACATTTCCAGAAGAGGGCATGAGATTCATCGGAACGAGTTCGAGACCCTGCTGAGTCACCCACAGGTGCTGTGAACCAAGGTCTTCCACAGGGGCAAGCAGTGCTTTTCCGGAAGAGCCGTCACTCCAGCCCAGGACCAGTTTCAATCCCCAGCTCCCCTGGGCTGTCGGGCCACAGGAGGCTGGTCCCCACGTCCGCCTCTGCTCAGCTCCTTTTATACTGTCCGCAGGCAAAGCCCAGGGTTCCAGAACCCCACTGATGACCCTAAAATAGCTGATGCTGATTACACCTTCACTGACCACACAAAACTCATTTTCACGACTCCTCTCACTTCTCTTCCCTCCATCCCCACCTCACACGGCAGTGCTGCCCCTCACTGGGTTATTTCTTCACCTGTTCCTGCGGACACGGTCCTCTAGGCTGCCACCCTGCGGCCAGGGCCTTTGCTTCTAGCATCTCATTTCCTCCCTTCACCGGTTCCCTTGTCTGCCATAACAACACAAACATCCCTTCATTCAATCTGACCTGTAGTTTCCCCCTGCAGGAAGTATTTTCTGAATACATATTTCACTTCCCTGAGAGCTACCTCCACATTCTGTTACCAGTCCTCTCCAAGCTCCCCTGCTCTCCCGAGCCCAGGACACCGCAGCCCCCCAACACCTTCCTCTTGATCGCTGTGCCCACTCTCCATGGCTCGGCGTACTCCTAAGGCCGTCACCCTTGTTTTTAGCACAGCGTCCCTCAGGTGCGTTCACATTCTTCTAGTCAGAATGACTTCCCAATCTAGATCTTTAAGATCAAGGGTCTCAAGTCTACTATTATAGATTATCCCTCATTTCTAACTCTGTTGACTCCACCCGACTGCCCGGCTGCCATTTCACGTTCAAAATTGGAGACAGGCCGAGGCCTCTGGGGTAGTCAACAGACACCTCATCCTCGTGTCCAAGTGGATCTTGGCTCGTGCTGCCTTCCTCTCCTCCAGGCTCTCCCAGTCTGTGATGACACAACTCACTACTTGTTCCTTCTAAACCCCAGAAGTCACCAAGGGCGGATGCATTTGCTTGCTGGGTCCTCCACAGGGATGGCTGGCTGAAGCCGCTAGGGTACCCAGCACCAGCACCAAAGTGTCCTACGTGCAGTGCTCCTGCCAAAGGGAGGGGTACTGCGAGCCGCAGTACTGGTTCAGGAAAGTCTACCACACAATCCTCGCTTCTGGGCTTACAGCCCCCACCTAGCTTGTCCCACAAATCCTCCAAAACATTCATAAGCCCACCACTCCTCATCACCATCACTGCTGCTCCAGGCCACAGCCCCACCTCACGGGGAGGACTTCAACAGCCTAGCTATCCCTGCCTATCCTCTGCCGGCCGCAGGAATCTGAACTGGCAGGCCATTCTCGTTACCTCCATCCTACCTACAGAACTCCCTCTACCGTGACAGCAAACTCAGATGCTCTCTCTATTCCTTGGCGGGTGCACTGCAGGCCATTCCCTACCAACGCCTACCTGACTGCTTTATCCCACCAGGAGGTGCTTGCTCACTTTGCACTCAAAGCCTCCACACCTCTCCCAGGAACACTTTCCCCACAGTGAGGAGACCCCTCATTTTACCCAGGTCAACTACTTACTGCAGACTTACCCTACCTTTTCTTCACTCCTTACCCCTAACTTTGATTTTTCCACACAGGGGAACTATTATTATTATCTGCCTCCAGCTTATTTATCATCTTTGTCCCATTGAATGTAAGCTCCATGTGAGCAGAAATCTCATTTTCTTTCCTGTGACCTGAGTTCATCATGTATCCTAAGTGGCCATTAATACCGATTGAATGAATATTCTCCCACAGCATCTAACACTCAGTGTGACCACTGCCTGGAGCTGGGAAGCTTCAGCCCAGGATTCAAGGTTCTCCAGTCTTGCTAACCTGCTTTTCCCTCTCAACTTTGACGTAACAGAGCTGTCTCTCACTAAGCCTTTGTTTCTGCACCGGCTTGTCTTGGGTTTCTCTATTCTCCATATCGAAGCCATTCGGCCCCCTACCTGCCCACCTGACCCATCAGTGGGTGCATCTCTCCACAACCCGAATACCAAGTCTGCTCCTCAGCCACAGTGCACGGTCTGTCCAAGTATCGCCCCTCTACCCATTTCTCAATGAGATGTCATTGGTGCCCTCTGTAAACACTATCCAGTGTGTGACTGGAAGTTATCTCCTACATGCGCCTCCTAATAGCCCCATCACATATGACCTTACGGTATATTTATGTTGTATCTTATCTCCCCAATACAGAAGAAACCCCCACACTCTGGTGCACACATCAATACTATATTACCCACAGTCCTAAACTGTTGCCTTTCCTAAGCAGTAAAAATCCTCGTGTGTTTTAGTTACTGTACACACAACGACATGCCTTTGTTCGGGGCTGGGCTTGCTTGAGTGCTGGGGCCTTTGCACACTTGAGGAAGGTGTTTTGCCAGTTCTTGCTTTTTAAAACCCCGAATTTAGACCAAAGCATCTTTGAAGATAGTTCTTATCTTACAATATAATTAGTCTATTTAAGGTTTATTAACACTTAATCCTCAAGCATGCTTCAGTTCAGAGATAAAGACAAATTGAAATTAAGAAAGCAGTGAGTAGACACAGCTACTTTGTGATAAACAGGAGCTTGCCTTAACAAAACTAATGGGCAACTAACCATGGAAGTTTATTATTCTCATTAAAACAAAGGCCCGAATTTGGTCCAAATCAGTAGGAAAAGCTTGATCACAAAGTCTCTCTCTCCAAGACAGAAGGCACTGGAAGTCATCACATGCCTGGGTACCGCTTAACAATATCACAAATGCCTCTTTATTTCAGACACATTTCCCATTTTAGAGTCCGTTTGAAGCCCTGGCTGGCTCTGAACTCCTATCCTTCCATTCAGCCTGTGGGCTTCTGGGATTACAGGGATGTGCCATCTATATCCTATACCACCTAAATTCAGTTTATATATAAATCATATGAGCTTTGGGTAGAGCATCAAGAAAGAAAATGAAACGAACAGCTTCGAGACAAGAGGAGTCTCACGTTCACTCGGGGGTAGTTTTCCCTGCTGTTCAGTTAAACTGGAAGTCCTATAGAAGGAGCACAGTAAGGACACCGAGGGGCACCGCACAGCTCTAATCCACGGCCAGGCCAACCCTGACACAGGCATGCGCAGCTACAGAGGCTCTCCCCACCCTTCCCCTGACACCGGAGGTCCAGGAAACAGCGGGTTAACAAGACTGACTCCTCAGTAACACAGATCACAGACCAAACCCGGCAGGGCCGGGGGCCTCTGTAACGGAGAGCTCTGACCTTTAGTGTATACCCCCACAGTGCAAACCTCCTTTGGGGCGCGTAGTCAAAAGGTTCACAAATTAAGTGCTAAGTGCCCTTGTCTCGCACGTTTCTCAGTACTATTTTCCTTATCAAATCTTTGTCAGAACTTGCCAGAACCAGACGTGGTTATCTTGGTTTATTTGTACAAGGTCATGGCAACAGTGGAGCAAAAATGTTACAGGTCACTCGAGTTCACCGGCTCTGCATGCCTGGCACGCCCACACCTCACCTTTTCTGCAATGCTGTGTGTGTGTGTGT